AACTCGGTTCGATTTATATATTCTAACTACCAACGAGCTGCTAGCGTATCCTCCATGAAATCTAACCTAGGTCTTTCTTCCCTATCGTCACGACGCAAAAACGCACGACTTTGTTTGTTCCATAAAATTTTCCACCACACCACTTTACGCGGTGAACTGTTAACATCACCTTCATACATGTCGTCACGGATGGATCACCCACATAAAGTAGGAGTCATTTCATGCAACACTAATTCCTTTTTTTATTCCTTCATCCCACGTACGTCTAGTGACTGGAACCACCTTCCCTCTCTGATAGCCACTATTACTAATTATGATTTGTTTCAATCTGCCTTAAAAAATATATCTGATTGATTATTTAACTGTATTAGTAGAAGACGTTGTGTTTGCCGGTTTCAGGCTAGTGGACTATAGCTCAAAAGTGCTGCTTATTACCTTGTATGAGTGTGTTGACGTCATTAGTCTGCTTCTACTAACTTCCGGGGATGTGGAAACTAACCCAGGCCCAATGAGTGACAGCCAGCTAAAACTGTTTAACGAAATGCATGGAATGCTGGTCGATCTTAATACACGATCGGTACAAATTCAAGAATCCCAATCAGGAATCCTATCATCCATCAACGAAATTAAACAAAACCAGGAATCACTGCGTGCTACTGTAGCTGATATGAACTTGAGACTCATCACAGTGGAATCCAATGCCTTAAATGTAGAGCAGCTTAAAGCCGCGGTAGTCGAGGTGAGAGGTGTTGCTAATAACGCACAAAAGGAAAACCGCGTCTTGCAGGCACGGCTTGACGAGGCGGAAGACCAATCTCGTCGAGATAACTTAATATTTTTTGGGGTTAGCGACACCGTATCTGAGACGTGGGCGCAGACTGAAGCACGAATTTTGAGTATTTTTCAAACATCACTCAATGTACAAATCACGGGTGACTCGATAGTTCGTGCTCATCGGCTAGGAAACTTTACACAAAACAAATGCCGACCAATCATTGTAAAGTTTGCGTCATTCAAACTAAGAGATCAAATACTACTCGCTAGAACTGGATTAAAAGCACTCCGTATCTCAGTCAGCGAGGATTTCTCGCTCGCCACACGTAATGCCAGAAAGCAGTTAATTGAATTTGGTAAAGCAAACGGAGGTGTATTTAAACTACGCTACAACAAATTGCATATTAATAACAAGTGTTACGCGATCGATCAAACAACTAAAGAAATTTATGAGCTAGGTCCTTCTCGACTGTCTGCAGCCCCCAACGCGCAGCCAACCGCCCCTCAATCACCGTCATCATTTGCTCGGAGTTCTAATCAGGCGCCCTTGCCGATATAGGATCTGTCGAGGGGTAGGGCATGCGTGTCACGGTCTTCGGATATTTCTGTTGTTTTCACCAACATAAGAAGTGTCCTGAAAAAACGCGACGAATTGTGTTCCATTGTAGATACCACCGATGCTGATGTCATTGTACTAACCGAAACGTGGCTTTCCGGGAAAATACAAAACTGTGAACTGTTCGATGGAAACAAAACGTTCAATGTTTACAGACATGATAGACAGGAAAGATGTGGCGGTGGAGTGTTAATTGCAATCGCTGATCATATCAAATCCTTTTCTGTGGACGTTATATGCGAGTTGGAAATAACGTGGGTTGGCCTGCTTGTTAACCATAAGAAGTGGATTATGGGAGTTTGTTATCGGCCACCCTCGTATTCGTTGCCATTTGTCGAAGCGTTACATAATACACTTAACACCATTATGGTGCGTTTTCCGGGTGCTCCAATTTTTCTTCTCGGCGACTTCAATTTCCCATCTATATCATGGTCAAACGACGTTCCTTGTGTAAATGTACATTCTGAGGAATGTATTTCGTTTATTAACCTATGTCTAGATTTTAGCCTTTCACAACTTGTTCTCCATCCCACCAGAGTTACCCAGTCGACAGCCAATGTATTAGACCTCATTTTGACCACTCATCCTGAGTATGCAACTCCCATAACATATCTGCCCGAGATTAGTGATCACAAAGTGCTGCATTTTTCTCTAAAAGCGTCGGCAACGAGACCCACTTTTCAGCCAAAACAAATTCGTGATTACGGAAAGGCCAACTTTGAGCAAATTAATAATGACCTTGCCATTTTCTTGAACCAGTATCTAACAACTTCTTCGGGGCGTTCTGTCGAAGATAACTGGAATATCATAAAGTTGAAATTTATCTCTCTTATCAACAAGCATGTCCCACTAAGAAATATATTCGAAAATACCCAGTCACCATGGTTTACGAAAGCCCTAAAACGGTTATCAAATAAAAAAAAACGCTTATATCGTGCTGCGAAGTTTTCAACGTGTGGGCATCGCTGGGCTGCGTATCAGTTGTCTGCAGAAGTATATAAAAAGGCGATTGCAGATGCGAAATCAATTTTTTTTTCAAATACTCTCCCAAATATGTTAATAAATGACCCCAAAAGGTTTTGGAACACTGTCAGCAAGAAAGACACTTTTTCAATTTTACTCAAAACGTCAAGTAGTGATAGTGCCTCTAGTGATGACTGCGCTAATATACTAAATAATGTGTTTATTGAATCATTTTCCAATATTAGTAACATAAGCTACCCTTCAATTGTGTGTGCCGGTTATTTACCAATGGATGCTATTCTTGTTGACCCTATTGGTATAGTTAAGATTATAGATGGGCTGAAATTGTCTTCTTCTTCAGGAGTGGACGGCATTAATTCAAAATTTCTTAAAAGCACCAAGTTATATTCTTCAATTATTCTTGCTAAATTATTCGAACAGTCACTCCAAGAGGGTGACCTACCCTCGGACTGGAAGGTGGGGAAGGTGGTCCCTATTCCAAAAGCTGGTGACAAACATTCTCCTCATAACTATCGTCCCATTTCGTTAACCAGCATCCCATGTAAACTTCTCGAGCACATCATATTTTCCCATCTTGTAAACTTCCTAGAAATGAATAATTTTTTCACCACAGCTCAGCACGGATTTCGTAAATCATTGTCATGTGAAACTCAGCTTCTATCTTTCACTCACGACATTCATTCTCTCATTGACCAAGGCTCCCAGGTGGACTGCATCTTCTTGGATTTTGCAAAAGCTTTTGATAAAGTGTGTCATAAACTATTACTATTGAAACTTGCTAAACTTAACATTGACCCTAACGTTCTTGCATGGATTCATTCTTTTCTTACTAATCGTTCGCAATTTGTAACAGTCAATAATGAAAACTCTCCACTTGCGTCAGTAAACTCTGGTGTTCCCCAGGGGTCTTTTCTAGGCCCCTTACTATTCTTAATTTATATTAACGACCTACCAGTTAATATGTCATCATCCGTCTGTCTCTATGCCGATGATTGCGTAATATACCGTGAAATCCGAAGTAACCAAGACACGCTCACACTTCAGTCTGATATTAACTCTGTGTCTCGTTGGTGTGAGTTGTGGCTAATGAAACTAAACACTAGTAAATGTAAACACATGAGAGTAACCCGTCAGTTTAGTGAGAGTCCTTCTTACTACCTTGATGGCAACTCCTTGGAACAAGTGTCGTCATACAAGTATCTTGGTGTTAACTTAACTTCTAACCTTTCATGGAAACCCCATATAGAATATGTCACTAATCGTACTAACTGCATGCTGGGTTATTTAAAACGGAATTTTTCTTTAGCACCTGTTTCACTTAAATTGGTCCTCTATAAAACATTAATAAGACCTAAGCTTGAGTATGCAGCATCCATCTGGGATCCCGATCATATTACCCTCATCACTGCTTTAGAATCCATTCAAAATAGATCAGCTCGTTTCATTCTATCGAACTATCACCGCACCGCCAGTGTCTCGTCAATGAAGAATAATTTATCTTTACCATCTCTTTCACTTCGCCGTAAAATTTCACGCTTATGCCTTTTTCATAAAATTTATTTTCATAATCCCCTATTACGCGACCATTTCATAACTCCCCCCTATTACATCTCGCCTCGTGTAGATCACCAGCACAAAGTTGGAGTCCCAAGCTCATTAACCAACACATTTCATTCATCTTTTCTACCACGCACAGCTCAAGAATGGAACCACCTTCCCGGTTTAATTGCTGCCATAACAGACTCTAATCTTTTTCGAAGTGCCATAAATAACCATTTTTGCGCTGATTTCTGACCTGTTTGTTCACTTTTTATTTGTTTTAGTATTGCTGAATTGTTATATTTTCCCTGCCTACGCTCTCCCCCTCTGTAATGCCTTCGGGCCCTGAGGGTACAATAAATAAATAAATAAATAAATAAATATAGTATCAAAGTGTATTAATCATTTGTAACCATTGTTTTTTGTTTTTTTTTCTTTCGTGTATGCTTTCCCAATTATTATTCCATTTTACTTATTGTATTTGCTGTACCACTCCCCTCTATAATGCTTCATGCCTTGAGGGTATTTATAAATAAATATAAATAAATAAATAAATAAATAAAAGATGCGGATGACGACAAACTACTTCCGGCTAATAAAAGATGCTTCTCGAATGAATGGATGCAACATGGAGAATGTGAAATCTAAAACCAGTTGTATGAGGAGTGGCTCGACGACGGCATCAATGGATATCGAAGACTTCTTCGGATGCCTCGGGCGACACGAGCAACGGCGCAAGCTGCAGCAAGTTAGGCGACCCCGATGCCACCGCCGGTATCCCGCAGAGAAAAATCTGCCAAGTTGCCAGACGCGGGAACAAAATAGTGCTAATCGCCAAGTGCTCCTTCGCCAAGGCGGGGACGGTTTGTGCGGCTTGAGCAAATGCTCCCCCCTGCCCAGGGATGTCCAAGTTGGTTCCCTGCAAAGGTGTGACGTTGCCACGTGATGCGCATCCTGGGAGCAAAGGGAGGAATTTCTCCCCGTGTGAATACCACCTAAGGAATAGTTTACGAGGAACGCTTTATGAGGAACAGTTCACGAGGAACACGGACTTTGTCTGTTGCTCGTGAATGTGGAAAAAACTCGCCTGCTCGGGAAAAGTGGTCTCCTGGAGTTCGACGTCCTCTTCCGCGTAGACCAGGATTGTCTTGAGGGATTTGCGCAAGAACTCCTCGTTGAAGCTCTGGCTCGTGCCCACCAGTGAGCTCAGGGACATGGTCACCTGCATCTTCACCCTGGCAAAGTTCTGCACACCCACCGCCCCCAGTCAATGGGATCTCTCTCTAGCGCCGTTTGTGGCTTCACTCTTTCGTACCGCCTGAAACCCATATTCAAGCTGGCAGTGGGGAACTATGTGTATCGCAAGTTTGTCTGCTTCTAGCAACAGGGTTGCAACGATGTCAGAATGCCAAGCTCTTATTGGCCGATTGAGAACAATGGTGGGTAGACCTCGAGGCATTGAGGTCTACCACTATCCTTCCAATCAGTCAATCGGAGCTCGTCGTCATCCTGACGTCACTGCAACTCCTGCCCAAGAAGCAGACAACTCGCACACTGCACAGAATCCTCCCTCACAAAATTATAGATTGAATCTTTGCAGCTTCAAATTTCTAAAGCTTTCATTTTCATTTCTTGCAGTAACAGCTACGTTTTTTAACTGGAGTATTACGGTTCCCTCATCCGCATATTTTGCGGAAAAATTTGTTTGTGTGCCAATTCGGCCAACAAATACCAGATGTGAATCCGGGCTTGCTAGGAGTATGGTGCCTGGAACATGTCTCCGACTGGCGTGTTTACCGCGCCCAAAAAAGTGGTCCCTCGATTTCCACCTGATGACGTCATAGAAGTGTCATGCTGTCGCGATTCTGGTGGCGTCCCAACATTTGTTATGTGTGCGGCAGACACCTGTTCTGCAGTAGGTCGCTCTCCATTGTGGCAGTCCATGGAAGCTACAGTAGCCGGAAGTTGGGACGCCGTGACAACAGCGACACTCGTGTTTGCTTGTGCTTTTCGCCAGAATTTCTACGGTCAACCACCAGGACCACGACAGGCAACGACATGATACTTCGGCATCTGTGATATCATTTGATGCCACTTCGGGGCCACTTTTGATGTATGGGCGGGATAGGACGCTAAACACACCAGTCGGAGACGCGGTCCAGGCACCATACAAGGAGGAGGCAGCGAATTTTCTGGCTTAAAGTTCCACCGCTCGAGCGGGTAGAGGGACGTTTGACATGGATTTGAGCCGGCCTCTTTTGGCTTGCTCATAGCATTTGGCCGGTCCAGGAGCAGTGTACTGACGTTTCCAATCTCGAAGTTCTGTCGCATGAGCAGGTAGAGGGAGGCCGAGGCCTGGGAGCGCACGCTGCGGATGGCCGAGCTGCAGTGGCGCAGCAGCAGCAGGCACAGGTCCGCACACTGCTCCGTCTCCTCTTCAAACAGCAGCTCTGGAAACTGCACCCATGCAACACCTCTCCATCTAAGGTCGACTCACAAGCATCCCTCAGAATCCACATGCTCCACTCTTTAGACCACAAATGAAGCGCTTATCAGTCTGTAAGGAACGACTAACCCAAATCCAAAAGTCTATAGTGAAGTCAGTTTTGTAGGAAAATATATCTCCATCAGCACTACAAATGCCTGGGATAGCAAATATCCATCTTTACCAAAGAAAACTTCTAGTGCACTAAGGAGTGACAGCGCTTATATATATATTTATTTGTTCATTTGGGTTCTCCCACAGTCCCCAGAAGGGCATTATCGTGAAAGAGGGAACACAATCAATTTGTAGAAATATATTCGAAACGCACAAATAAAGTTGACTGCCAGGGAAATACAAACAGTAGGATATCTCATAACGTAAGAAAGAAAGCATTAAGGAAGGATGCAAGTAAAAAAAAGGAAATTTTTTTTCGAAAATATGTCTGGGTTATTAGGGTGTTTTATTATTTTGATTCTTCACCTAATATGTATACGTAAAATCAGGACCGAATATAATTGCAAGATTAGTCAAATACGCATTTGAAGTATACCATAATATGTTGAGAGATGGCCCACCTAAAATCGAAAGCGAATTGGGTAAAAAAAAGGAGTGCGCTAACATTCGGTTTGCAATTGAGAAAAGAATTGAAAAAATGCTATTTTAGTACCTATGTGTGTCCCTGCCAAACTTGTTGGGTGGAAATACCGTATAATGTCGTATTACACCTGAGACTGCGGTGGAAGAAATCGGAAGAACTTTCAGTAGAAGGAACAAACACAGAGAACGTTTCAAACTCAGCTAACTGGTTTATTTCTCAAACAGCCTTTAAGTACCCTCGGAACTTTTTCCCAACCACACTCTACACATAAACTCCTTTGTTGCAGACATTTCGAACCGGATACCGTGTCGTGATAACTCCAGCTTGCGGACTGGCACATTTTACTTCCTACCAAGCCTCAGTGTCACTAGCTTTCCTGAACAAATGAACCTGCTTTCTGATAAACTCCATGTACAGAACTACTGCATTCTTATTCTTGGAGATTTTAATGTGTCCGATAAAAACTGGGACTTAAAACACACATCATCATCTAGTCGTGTTACACTAAAGGCCAATACTTTACTCGATTCTATTAACCTAGCTAGGGTTGAAGCAATTAAATAGTGTCAAAAACACTGTGGGAAACATGCTAAATCTCGCGTTCGTAAACTTTAACGTTGACAGCCTCATTCAATCTTCCAATCCTCTCGTCCCACCTGATGGGTGGCACATTCCTTCTTTAATCTCTTTCGAGGTTTTCTGTAAGAATACAAATATTTTGAGCTACGGCTCTTTTGCCTTTAACAAGGATGACTATCTTAGCCTCTCTAAATTTTTAGACACTACCGATTGGTCACCTATATATGAAACAACAGATGTAAATTGCACCATTGAATTACTTACAAAGTGTATTAAAAGCACGCTTAAACTTTTTCTTCCAAAAAAAGTCTCGTCACTCATCCCGCTATCCTTGTTGGTTTTCACACAGGCTTAGGTGTGCGCTTAGGAAAAAAAACTGCTCTATCATAAAAAATACGAGATTATGCGAGCACAATTTTGGTAGAATTATTTTCAGAATCACGGGCATCAGCTAAACTGTTGGTCAAGCGGAACAAGAAGTCTTATCACGAATCAGTTGAATGCCGCTTAAAACGTGACCTCAAGTTTTTCTGGCGGTATGTCACGGAACGCATGACCACATCCTCCTCCGCTATAAACCTACATGCCACATTGGGTAAAGTGCTGAGTGAACCTGCATGTGTGTCAAACACTTTCGAGTTCTCTCCCTAAATCAAGCTGCGCCATGCACTCCGGTCGATAGTCACTCTTCCAATGATAACCTCTCGATAGCATCTTTTCAAAGCTCCGAAACGGAACTTGCAATCGGAAAACTAAAGCCCAAGCTATCGATATCATTTAACGGAATCCCAAGCTTTATTGTAAAAGGCTGCTCCTCCATTTTTGTACCAATACTTAAGCACATTTTCAACTTATCCCTCTCAAGTTCTACTTTTCCCGAGCTTGGAAAAAAGTCGGTCATTGTTGTTGAAATTGCGACATATGATCAAACGAGAGTTTTGCAAACGCACAAAGCAGGGATATCAGCCTGTATGAAATCCCGTTTGATTGTATGTCGCAATTTGTTTACACATAAAATTAGCATTACACAACATGCATTTTTTGCTGGTACGTCTGTAGAGACCAATCTTGTACTTTTTCAATTTTGTGTAGCCCATTGTAAATCAGTGCAGGCACATAGACGCGGTATACTCTGATCTATCGAAGGCTTTGAACCTAGTTAGTCATTCCATTCTTTTTCATAAATTAAGGTCATATGGAATGAATACCCATTTTGCATATTATATTCAAACTATCTAACAAAAAGAAATTTTTTATGGACATTAGGACATCTTTTTAGACCTTACGCATCATACTCTGGCGTGCCACAGGGGTCCGTACTTGGACCGATTCTATTTAATATTTTCATAAATGACCTCAGTTCTTGTACCTGCCATTACAAAACTTTGCAATATGCCGATGATATAAAATTGTTTTGCCAGGTTTCATGTAGCCATGACTGTCTACTGCTGATGAATGATGCTAATTCAGTACATTATTCGAGCTACGCACCGCAATTTGTTAAAACTAAATCTTAATAAAACAGTATTTTGTCTTTTAAAAAAAAATTGCAAATTTTAAGTTATTTTTCTGTTTCTTAGATTATGACTGCAGATTTTTAAAAAAGTCAGCATTTCTTTCTGTTTCTTACAAATGAATGCCTTTGGTAGATATGGAAAGTGCATTGTAGACAATACACAAGAAAAGAATAAAATGTTTTTTATCTTTTTTTTTTTGTCTTCATCTTCATTTGTACTCTGTGTTCGTCCCCCTTAAATGTTTTAGTCTGTCTTTTTTTTGTGTACTATTCTTCTCTTGCCACGTAAAAGATAGACCAAACATTAGTTTAACAAAAATTACAATAAAAACCAATACAGTATAGACCACTTACAACGTAACCGCTTACAGTGCAGGACCGGGTATAACGCGGCTTTTTTAAACCACCAATTCGCCTCCCATAGAACTCCATGTAATTACATACCGCTTACAATGCAGGCGTGCGAAGGGAAGTACCGGTTATAGTGCGGTTTTTGGGTTTTTGGAACAGGCCGCCGACCGCGCGACTGCCGGCGCAGCGAGCACGCTTCCCTGTGCGACACTAGATCACGGCGCAAGCCGCAAGCGGCACTCAGGCAGCACTTGCGGGGGCAAGGATGGCAAGGGGGTTGCTCGAAGAAGCGGGGAGAAGCGAAGAGAGAGGCTTCAGTTGCCATAGCGACGGAGGGACGCACGCATGTGTCGTTCAACGTGCGTGCTCTATGCGTGCGTGCGTCCCTCCGCTGCGTTGGAAACAGAGTTGGTCGTGGCACTGGTCGTCGTTGGAAAAAATCGCAACGACAGACCAATCGCAGGTCGAGGAGAAGTGTTCGAGCACGTTGCATGCTGGTCGCGGGCCGGCCAGGGCCGGCTGCTTCTATCCGCAAACATGGCGTCGGTTGTGATCGTCGTCGTAGACGGCATGGTGGAAGTTCATCGTTCCGCGTAAAAGCGCTATTCTTGACTGTGAATTTTCGTTGTGTGTCGCTATGATAACCCAGCACGTACTAGAAGGGAAGATCCACCTACTCGTGCGGCGATGTCGTGGCGGCACTCTCAAGATGGCAGAAACGCCCGTGTCGTCGTGCTTGTTTACTTCGACTACAGTGGTGCTTTCTAGGCGTTCGTGTTTTCGAACATCGCCCGGATTTCTTATTTGGAGCATTTCATGGCTGTGCTCAAGTTGAAGGTATTACTGACGCGTACCGTATAAAGGATGCGAATTTTCACGTGTTTTCATCACCGGAGAAAAGTGATTAGGGTTAGCCATCCTGAACGCTCGCAACGTCCGTCCGCAACCCGCGACGCCGTTAAAAAGCTGCGCCAGGCAAAAGTCGCTCATTCCTTTCAAAATGTGTGACACACTTGAGAGAGAAGTGTACTAGTCTGGTGAAATAAAGACTTTCCTCAAACTAAGCTTTATTTTTCATCTAACATAAAATAAATTCTTTTAGAAAGGTAAGTTGTCTCATGGCATGTATTTTGAACAGAAAAATTGATGTTTTGGTTATAGCGCGGTACCGCTTATAGTGCGGATTTTCGCAACTCCCGCGACATATGTTATATGCGGTCTACACTGTATTACTGAGATTTCTTTAATTCTTCCTGTCGCCACCGCAGTCTCGGGTAATTCTGCAATTATGAACTTGCCCCAGCTCACTTGTGCCCTCACATTTTGTTCGTCAATATTATATATTGCCTTCAGAATATTCATTCCAAAATATTTTGAATATTAGTTCTTGTCCCGGCCACCTTAGAACAAGATGCCCTCATGGCAGCTAGAAGGCCGGAAGCTACAGTCTAGAAATTAGGGCATACTCCAGGCTGCTTCACACACTCGCATTTGAGTGTGTTCGAGTGCATAACATTTCCTTAGAACCACTCAAACTGAAATAAAAAATACATTTTTTTAAAGGGCCTCGGTGGAGCATGTTATTTAAATAAAAATGTTTACCACGAAAGAATAAAAATGTTAAGCGCAATATTTACGCCGCCTGGCGCAAATTAGTCGAATGTAGCCCCGCTTTAGGCCCAGTGCTTACAATTTGTTCAGCTCTCATTGACTGAACAGATGATCGACGAGTGGAACGACAACTGTAACTTTTTCTTCGTGCCGCGACAGTTTTTCATTCAATGCACATTTATGTTTAAGAAACAAAAGCTCTAAATTAAGTCATTCGAAACGAGATCATCACTTAACACTTTGATGTCAAATGAGAACACACATGGCTGCTGGCATTAGCAACAAGTAGTTTCATACGTTGCATACTCATTGGGCTCGCTTATTTTTATGAGTGCGAGTCGTTTCGCAATCACCAATATGTATAGAGGAAGATCTCCTCAACCGACGTGGAGCAGACTCGCGATAATTCAAACTCGGATATTTTTACCATTTTTTAGACCACCTGAGACTGAGTGGAAGAAACACGACAACGTCTCAAACACAGCTAACCGCTTTATTCAGTTCTCCCTCCTTTTATACATCCTGAACCCAAAATCGTCACCATAAAAAACATTCCAAACAAAAGGCACCAAGAGGACACGTCTTGACTTCGCAGCCACAATGATGTTTAAAAAAAAAACAAATCACTTTGAACTAACAAAAGCTACAAACACATCAAACTCGGCCGAAGGGAACATTCTTTGACCTCGCAGCCACTCTTATCTTTACAAAAAACGAAGAAGCGAACCACACCGAACCGACTGCAGTTCGAACCCATCAACCTGTTACACCTTTTTTACTTTTTCGCTTTACGTACGCAACAAACGGAACATCATGACAAAGGAGGTACCTCTGGCGAAAAAACACAAGACCTGTTCAATTCATACTCGGAGCAAAGCTTTCGCCTTATCACTAAGAAGCATAGACGCCTGGCTTATGCAATTGCCGATCAACCTAATTTTTACTGTCTCTTTTACAACCCTTTTAACGTCATTGATCTCTTTGCATACTACCGTTGTACCGGACGACTCGACTGAGCAGTTTCTGCATTCTTGTACATGTGTCGCAATTTCGGAATTAGTCGATTTTATCTTTACGTTTCTTTTGTGCTCTGTCAGACGATCGTTCAAACATCTTGAGGTCTGCCCTATATACTTAAAACCGCACGTCATCGGTATGTCGTAAACGACGCCAGTTTCACAAGGCACAGACTTTTCCCTGCGGCCCTTTTGGCATCCTTTTTTTCTCTCTTTGGAACGGGGTGAGGTTGCCCAACTTAAAGTCCGAGCTGAAAACTACATTAACGCCAAATTTTTGTACTTACGGTTAATTTAAACAAAAATAAAAATTTCGGTGCCGATGTTTTCGAAGTATTTAAAAGCCGCTGAACTCGAACCGCGTTTTCGTGTAACACATAGTCCTTGTTCTCACGGCCCCATTGAGCGCGCTTCTTACTGAGCACCGCTGAAAAGCAAGACCTGCAAAGCTCGCTTGTGGAGGCGTGGTTGCTAGGTAGGAAGTCGAAGCTCTCGCCTGGCCGTTGTCAGTAACAATGGTAAGCAGCTAAAGGCAGACTCAACCAGCAGGCTGTACCCACCTTGAAGACCAGAGACCGCTGGGTGGCAAAGAGGCTTTGGAGTACCAGGGTGCTCTGGCTGCAATCCAGGGCGTGAAGGAGAACACGCAGCACTGTGCCCAAAACGCTCTGCTGGGAGTCCGACTGGGACACCACCTGGGAACATGTTGGCCCACTTCGATATGTGCCTTAACTCCTCCGCTCAACCGCCCAACCACGAGCATGGCTCGTGTTTTGGCTGCGGAGCTTGTTTTCTGCGCTCTACGGCAGATGGCAGCGCAACCACTATTGCTCCGCCCACTTCAGATTTTTTTGTTGTTTGCTTCGAATAACCAAAGACGGCCGTTTTTTCCCCGGGAAGAAAAATATTTGACGTCTGCAAGTGCCATTGATCACCAAGACAATTTGTTGGATCGCACTGGACCGCGAGTGTCGAAGTTACAAATATTGTCGTTGAAAAAAAGTAAAATGCTGCTTCACGTGCGCACATATGCCTTCCAGCACGTTGCAGTCGCAAATTTTTCACAAAGGGTTAACACAGAGTCGGTTCTTGATCGGTATCCGAGCGTGTGAAGGTGCTGAAATGCGGCACTCCATCGTGCCTAGGCATGTCCTTTCATCACGCCACCTGACAGGGGCACTTGCGTTCAACGAGTTTTGCCTTTTCCCTCGTCATTTTCCTAGAAATTTCTACGGGTTCTCAAAGGCAGCTATGACCATTTACACAGGGTTTTCCAAAACCTCTTCGGCGAACGATGGCGTACGAGCCGAAAACGAGTCTTGAAGCACGCAGCCGCCCAGCCACTGCAATGCTTCACCCGGCAGATTTACACGGGCCCAAAATGGCCGATTCGGAACTTCCGGTGGCTGCACTTGCCTCGCAGCGACCAAGTGGGGATGCGCGATCCAGCAAATTATCGTAGAGCTCAGTGGCAAGTGCGGGGAAAGGCTGCATGGCCACATCTCTTCGACTCAAACGTCCGTTTTAGCCGAAAAAAAAATACAGAAACATTTATTTGAAAGTGACGAGTGCTCTGCCATTTCTGAGGAGGAGACATACCGCCTCTTTAACGACTCGAAAACCTAATTTAAAATAGAAATTTTGCGCGAAAATTAAAGGAAACATTCACTTGACCTCAAAATGTTGTTTGTTGCTCTTTACCTTCCAAAAGTACCACAAAGTGAAGGACTACAGACTGGACCCATTGGAGGGCCAGATATAGTCGGAGCAACAAACAATATTTGGAGGCCGAGTAAATGTCTGCTGTCCCTTCCGTGCAAAGTGCCGATCTTAAATAAATTGTTGCGGTATGTTTTATTATAATAAATAAATAAATATGATAAATACAATGTGTAACACACCCAAGAGACACACAGCAACGCTGTGTGTCTCTTGGGTGTGTGTCTTGTGTGTATTGTCTTGTGGTGCTGTTGTTGTTATGTATGGATAAAGCAGATAAAGCTGGGGAAACATTCAGCACATTTTGAGCTACACTGGGTGTTTATTTAACAGCTTTTGCAAGCTCAGAAGTCACATAATATCCTGCGAAATTTAGGTAAATTTTTTCTCGCTAAATTCAGGAAGTCCACTAAATTTGATGGCCTTTCACAACGCTTTTTCATGGCAGTTTTTCGTGGCAGTTTTTCGTGGCAGTTTTTTGTGGCAGTTTTTTGTGGTGGTCTTTCGTGGCATCACGTCACAATTTCCTCGAGCATACAAGCTCTTCAGATTCTGTTTTAGAGCCAAGTACCCTCTCCAAATTAGAAATTAAAAGTGATCTGAAAGCACAAGAAAGGACAGTATGCCTGTACATTTCAAAACATGCCACAAGACCATATTTTAGACTAATGAAAGTGATAGTTAGTCATGTGCCTTGCACTTTTTTTGCCATGGCCATCTACTGCATCCTCATGTGACCCATCCATGATTATGTGACTATATGACCAGAATTCTTATAAAAAATTCTCTACATCACCCGTAGTTATGATCTTCCGGGAAATGTGAATGTGTAGGAAATGTGAACAGGTTGGAAATGTGAACGTGTTGGAAATGTGAACATGTTGGAAATGCGAACACGTTGTAGTGGTGAGAGATTTTGAAATCGAAGAGTTTTTGAATTGTGAATAAGCTTTGGGGGTTATGAACGAAATCCCCTGGTCACCTGACTAAGGCCAGGCAACGCTTTGTTGCGCAACTCATAATCATGCGACTAGAATCTTACGATGTGCATTCACGTGACCCACGATTGTGCTTCTCATGGTCCCACTATCTTTTGTAATGTGACAGAGAGTCAGCTGACCCTTGCCAAGTAATGTTTTGCCACCAGACATAACTGCAAAAATTTTTAGGAACTAAAGCAATTAATTTATTTGTAATAGACTTTAGTACATTCATATACAATTGCATGCATTGACAGCAGGACTAACACAAAAAGGATGCAAAACAATGAGAAAAAACAAAACAACAAAAAAGCACACTTCCCTACTAACTGTCGTCAGTACCAAATTTTTTTATGAGCAAAATGTCCGTAGACATTTATGAACAAACAAATGTGGGTGCACTATGTGCGGGCCACACGTAGCGCAACCACATTTGTGACCCACAATCTTACGATTTGCTGCCACGAATCATAGTTAATACTACTACTACTGTAAGATCCTGAGCAAGCGCCCACTAAAAATATAAAGATAACCACATAAAACTGAGGGATGGGCACTAATTAGGTCAGCAATATGTAAAGATATGTCCTTCGTGTATTTTCCAAATATTACAAGATTGAAGGCTGGGCGCTTATTGTAGAATGGGTGGATGCTCGGTATTTTAAGGTAGTCGCATCGGTAGTACTCGCGCTTCCGTGACAATTTGTCAAGAAGCCACTTGTTCTTGCGACCGAGTCTCCAACCTTTAAAGCTGACCTAAGCACCAGTGACCAGGCGTGTGGTGAGGGGCTCCTTGCAAAACTACCGACTACCACCGGGTCCTGTGCACAGGGGTCCCGAGAAAAACGGAGATAGGAGGAGTTCCAGACCTGGACGATGAGCTCGAGGACGTCCAGAACGGTGGCAGTCACCTCGGTGGCCAGGTTGCCCTCCATGTGAGCCTCCACCTCCACTTCCACTTTGGGCCTGGAGGGAACACCTTCGTCTGCACCCTGAGCTGCTCTCATTTACACAGGGTTCCCCAAAGAATTTATGCCGCTGTTTTCACCGCTAAACTGAACTATGCATCGCCCAACGCTCATTTTCCTCAAATGTAGCGCTAGCATACCAGATGCCAGGGTTGCAGGACTATGCTAATGTTATCTCTGGGGGTGTGCGAATATCGAATCATAGTTTTTGAATCAAATACCGAATCGAATCAAGGAAAAAAAGCCGAATATCGAATTGAATATCGAATAGTGATTTTATTTGTAGGAATTTTTCAAAGTGTGCTGAGAATGAGATTATTATATGTGCAGAGTATGCACCTGGTGCAGAATATGCATCTCGTACAAAACAAAAGTCAGAATGTAAAAAGTTCTGGTAGAAAGAAGAAAAGCAGTTGCTGTCGGACGTTGGGCGCTAAAGATCCCATTTTATGGTGCAAACATAATCTATCTACACTAAACGTCACAAAAAAACCGGAGTTACAGCCACGCGTGATCTTTAAAAGCACAACCTAGCACCGCGACTTTTTTAAAAATATTTGTATATCTCAGAAAAGGGGCATTTTGCGATAGTTAATCTTTATTTTGAGGGAAAAGAAAGGGCACCCGGGATTTGATTTCACATAAATAAACAGATAGGTGTTAAATCTGAGTAAACAGGCTTAAACAATATAATCTGAAATAAGGAAAAAATTGTGTGGTTAGGTGGCGCAAGTCACCGTCCAACTGCCGCTATGCATCCATTTTTCCGTCTATCTATCCTATTTTAGAGAGCCTAAATTTAAAAGAGGGAGCAAGCGAAACTGAAACCATGGAGACGGCTCCAGTGCAGATTGGTCGTAAGTGCGCATGTGGTGGGTTGTCGCATGGAAAGAAGGCGAGCAAACAGAAGAGCGACGGCGCCTGCCCTGCCTGCCCGATCCCGATCGACGCTTTCGTCTTTTGGTCACCTTCTCGCAGTTCGTAATTTAAACGTGGCTATCGAACTCTTGGAAACCCTCTCAAATCTAGGCACACTATTTTTCCATTCCGTTTCGTTCCGAATCGGAATCTGTGGTTCCAAAAGAACGACGACAACTCGGCTGGTTTCATCGGCGTGGTTAACGTGATTTTCTTTCTGTGATCGTGCAGTCGCTGATTTCTGTGAGTGTGGCAAGTGTGTTCTACATCGGCGCTTGAATTAGAAACGAGGGGCTTTACTCGTGAAAAGAATTAGGCTTGGTGTGGAATCCCGGCTTCCCAACAATTCCTGTCTGGAAGCAGCACAAACGGGTTGTTTCGGTTGTGATTCAAAAGTAGATTGTGTCACGATCATGAGTAAATCTGCGTGCTATGAAGTTCGTGGCGTTGGTTACTTCTTTTTTCTAACCTGTGCGTTAGATTTTTGTGGAATGGTAGGACCAAGAGGTGTTTTTTGCTTGGTCTGTCTAACATCACGGCGCTTACATTGGGAGAAAAAAGGGCTTTTTAGGGAAGGAGCTTCTTAGGGTCTAGCCTTATCCATCCATCCAGCGTCCGTGCTCACGTCGATTGCACTGCCTCTGGGATCAGCCCACTTTTAAAAAGAAATGTACGCCTGCACGGGGATTCGAACTCAGGACCGCTTGCTTACAAGGGAGACGTCTTAACCACTACGCTACACTCCAATGTTGCATGTAGCTGCTCAACATTTATACAAGAGAGGGCGCTGCAGTCAAATGCGTATATAATTGCGCTAAACTTTGCATGCATTGGCTCAACGTTCATAGACGAGAGCGCTGCGGTCAAATACTCAACTGCGTATATAACCACGTTCCATACCTCACATTCTCTTTCTGACATGGACCGTTGACTTGAGCGGTGGAGATGCATTCCCATGGCTTCTAGCGGATCCAAGCTGATCCGCTAGAAGAACCACTGGCTCTGCATTTCACCGACCATAAAGCAGTAATAATGAAGTCGAAACATAACCCGGAGCTCAGCACTACCTATGAGCAATCAAAAAAAAATCAGCACCATCAGCACTACCTATGAACAATAAAATCAGTATCATCAGCACCACCAGAGCTTCGCCCAAATCAACATCATTCACCAGGTGGAGATACGGCCTCTTTTTTGTTTGCTCCACGCTGACCGCGCGTCTTTGGTAGAATATATCGAATATTCGAGTGATCGAATAGTAAATACGAGGGAGGACGTGTAGTGCAGGCGTCGATTTTTACTGTCCATTTTAGATCAAGCCTGGTGACTGCATTCACCCTATATATATTTAACCGGCTCTAGAGTGGTCAGAAAATTTTACCTGAAATTGTGAAGAAAAACCTGGAAAAGTCGGGGAATTTCAAAAGAATAAATTGCTAGACACCCTGATATTCCACTTCCAAACAGTGACAAGCGGTTAGGCGTAGGAACGTCACTTTCCATGCACCACAGAGTAGAATTTGGTGCTTTCTTGGACAAAAAGAGACGGCTCAAGGTGTCCTAAGAAAGGTTGGCAATTTCCAGAGCATCGTTAATACTGCGTGCCTGTGCTAGCAGAATACTGTGCATCTCCGTTAGCGATGGCAAGCAAAAAATCGACTTCTCCCGGTGAGTACCGAAAAAAAACAAAAAAAACAGTTCGAGTGTGTTTTCTTTAATTCAAAGTATGTTTAATTTCCAGCATTTTGCTATCCCCGTAGGCTTTGGATTATGGAGAGTGTACTGCAGAAGTATAAAACATCAGTTACGAGTCGGCACCCGTCTACTTCTTCTAATGCTAGTCCTTTACACCTTATTTGTTTTCAGGAATGAAGTGTCATTAAAAAGCTGCTAGTCCAGACACAGTTGTACCCTGTTATAAAAACTCAGTTTTCCACTCGATGACTTGTTTTCGCTCCACAACAACCATCTTTCGAGACTTGGGAGCTTGTTATGTAGAGCACGGCACTAGACAGTCAATGTTATGATCAGGAGGTCTTGCGCAGTCAGGACGTCCCCCTGTCCTCACCTGTCAAAGCTGTCCGAACCGTGGCGCCACTGCGTCTGGTCCTTCCGCCACCTGAGACGGTCTCCTTGCGTCGGTGTCTGCAGCTGCGCACTGCGCTCTGGAAGGAGTGGAACAAACCAGTGGAACAAACCAGTGCCACAAACGCAGCACGCTCACTCTACTTCATTTCATAATAAATAATCCATTCATTCTGCTGTAAAAATAAAAATAGAAAATAGAAACCACAGTGGGAATTATCTATGAATGCAATACAGGTTCGGTCTCGACGACCAAGAACTGGTGCATAGGTCATGACATTAATTTTTCCGCTAAATTTAGTGGGGAACCTGAATTGGTGCCATAGGTCATGACATTAATTTTCCCGACCGCGCCCATAGGCCAGTGATCACCAGCGCCGTCAAAAAATTGAAGTTAATGCGGAGAATTATGCTCTACAATCTCTTGGATAGCCGAAAAACTGTAGTTGCAGTTTCAACGTAGATTTGAGCTTGATTACAAGCTGGTGTGCTGTCAAAAAAAGCTCGAGGTACACCTAAGCACTTCTCATGAGCTCTGAATGCGAAACATGCAAGCCGCTCATCCGCTCCCTTTTAGGGGCGAAGCTCCTTAGGGTCTAGCCTTGTTTGTCCAGCGTCCGTGCTCACATCGATCTTGCTGGTGCTCGTGATCGTGCTCATAAGCTCACGTGCTCACGAGCAAATGAGCACGTGTTCATGTGCTCGCGTAGGGCAAAAAAATAAAAAATAAATGATAAAAAAAAAAATGTTAGCACAGTCGACAGGATTCGAACCTGTGCAGGGATTTCTAGTCCATCGCCTTAACCACTCGGCCACGACTGCCGGACGAGTAGGGGGCTCTGAGATGGGGTAGTAACTTAAGAGCTGGGGATGTCATGGATGAAACGTTGCATGTAGCTGCTCAACGTCTATACAGGAGAGGGCGCTGCGGTCAAACGCTCAAATGCGTATACAACCACGTTCCATACCACACATTCTCTTTGTGACATGGATAAAAACGAACGAAAGGCTGGGCATGCTGCGGCTCAGCGTCTACACAGACAAGCACCACCAGAGCTTCGCCCCAATCAATATCATTCACCACGTGGAGATGTGGTAATTTTTTTTGTCTGTATACTTTTCGTCGCCGGTCAAGGCGAGTGCTCCCCTGGTGACCTTGGACGCCCCGTGTTAACGGCGCGCTGATGGACACACACAGCGCCATGGGGTGAGCGGTCGTGGAAACTGACGAGCGCAGTGGCCAACGGCAGCCCCGTCGACACGCGCCAGCCAATGGAACCGAAGGCAAAATCCATCAGCTTTGCTTCGCTCCTTTGGGATCGGGGAAACTAGGTGCCATTTTCGCGCTTCAAACTGATGACGTCAGCTTGCTCCATGGGACAGTTAACGCGATTATATACGCATTTGACCGCAGCGCCCTCTCCTGTATGGACGTTGAGCGGCTACATGCAACGTTTCATCGAGCACGATCACGAGCACCAGCATTAATAGTCCTGAGAAAGGTGGTTGTACTTGTCTAACATGGCTAACTGCTTGCATGAGCCTTCATAACCAAGATGGCACCTTTAACACAATTCAACTGTGTAGTGGCATGTATTTTAGACCTCAAGAGCTCTGGGGACACTTTAAATGGCATTATAGACATCTTTTAACAGATGGTTGTCGCTAAGCATCGAATATAATTTCAAATGCTGTCCTGAGAAGGTGTGCACGTTGTATGTCAACATCAAAATGGACAAAAATGCTAAATTCGAAGGAACTGCAATCGAGGTTATGACAAAGCCAAGGTAAAAACCAAAGAAAGCATTCTGCTGGAAATGTGAGGTGTACTACCTGTTTTTCACATAAGCCTTCCTTCGTTGAAAAGCACACGTGTTACGGAGGCTAACACTCTGACAAATTAAAAATAGGCAACGTTAGTTAGAGTACACTCACTATGAGAAGTAATAGTCGTGAGTGTGGGGCACATTTTCTATATTCTGATATTTTTTAACTTGTCGTTTAATTTGACATAGCTGTAGAAATTTCGGCATTTATACGCCTTTTGCACATACATTGTATTTTTAAAAAAATTTTAAAATCTTTTCTTTAGATTATACCAACCTCTGTTTCTTTTGAAAGAACAACTAACTGGCCACATTTTGATGTGTCATATTTCTGCATACGCAAGTTAGGAAAATAAAAGTGTTTGCACGGATCCTTCGAAAATAGCTGCTTTTCCCGTGGTCAGGAAAGAGATAATAATGCTATCAGAATACCTAAAAAAGGTCACGCAAAGATGGTATCTGTACCATCTTTGCGTAAGCGGACATCTTCACATAAAAGATACTGTCATGTCTCATTTTAACACTTTTTCTACTTACATGTGTGCAGTTTACCTTAAGGCAGATTTCCTAATCTAGGGTTGTTTTGATGGCGAAAACCTTATATGTTTCATCGCTCAATCAACCTTTAAAGTCCTTGAGCGAAAACACGTCGACGACACGAAAAGTAGGAAAACATGTCGGCGGCATGAAAGGTACAAAAACACGTCGGCGACGCAAAAGGTACCAAAACCCACAGTTTGCCACTCGACCACGAGATAGCGTTACTTGTGCCAGAATCAGCGGAGGCTCCCGCGCGGCGCAAACCCAGCGGGAGAGGAGGACTCTCGCTGGGGCAGCGGGGAAGAGCGGGCGTGCGACATGCCCCGAGATTAACGGTGCCAAAAGTGCATTGTCGGAGAGCGCGCTGTCTTCGATGGTTCGCTATCACCGGGATCGGCGCTTTCGCCTTCAAGTCGTCTTAGGGATAACATAAGAGACCCTGTGAATTTTTTTAGAGTGGTAGCTGTTAATCTGGCATTGTTTGTATGCAAAAGTCCAGGTAAGCATGGGGAGAAAGGGATGGCACCGTGCAAGGAGCAACAGCGATTAAAGAAGGGGGGGCGTGGACTGTATCCCTCTCACTGCGTGAAGATTCTGGAAACGGCCCCCCCGCAGCCTGTCTGACCAGTGGGAATGGCAAGCGCACTGAGCTGAACAGAGGAGATAGAGGGACGCAGCGGCACAAGAACAGCAAGAATCATCCATGAGGTTGGTATTATTAGAAGTACTATTATTGTCCCAACTGTCACGCACGAAAACTGTACGTGTTTGTCAGCAAGAGGCACATCTCCTACAAGTGTTCCACTAAAAGCGGAGCTCCTAATTTAAACGTACAAAAGCACACAGACTAAAAGGAGATCCCCTAAAGCATGTCGTGGCACAATCTCTTTTTATCCTACAGGCATGTTAGAAGCAGTGTCAGCACTACAATAGCTTTCACCTTATTTGGTTCTTCTGCACTTTGGGAAATAGACCAACAAAATGAAAAATAAGAGCCCACAGAATGACCAGTGTTTTGTCTGTTAGTTCCGAGAGTTGAACAGAGCAAAGGAAGCACCCATTCCCGACCAAGACCATTCGGTCACCTAGAGATTCGGTTTGCTGACTGCCAAATAAGCGTAATATGACTCTTTAAACTAGTTGCTAGTTGTACTCGATCAAAAACAAGTGGTTTGATTCGCGGCACTTTCTGAGACATCACCGAATTGAGCACCTCCAGAATGCAGCGATGGAAGCGGCATTTGACCTTTCCTAGCAGGTTCTGTAGCAGGCAAAATATTGGTTCGGAGCAGTTACCGACACTTTTGGAGCAGATGCCAACATCCGTTAGCACATCACTTGAGAATAGAAAAGTGATTGCATCTCTAAATGAGTTTGTTTATGATAGTGATTGAGGGTTCATCGTTGATACTCAAGCAAATTACTTATTACCGTTTGTGATAAAAATAGAAAGGGCATAAAAGGAACACAGCCTTCTTAAATAACGCTCTAGTCAGAGTAGGTTTCGTTTATAATGGTCTTTAAAAAATGTTCGAAAAGCGAATCATAGTGCAACACTTCACTGGGATAAATCCTCTCTCCCCCCACTCCTTTTTACACTCCGTACTTTCTCTAGCCTGTAAATATAATTTCTGTAAAATGCCAGCAAGAACAAGCACATCCACTAATACGTCCACCTGCAAAAATCTGTCCTGTAAGTTTAATGAACTTATCAAACTCGAGACTCTAATATCATTAACTGCAAAAATAACCACCCAAAAATATGGCAAAAGCCTACCGTCGCACTTTGAAGGTGACACTGCTCTTTGGCGGCGAAGGAACCAGAGTTACGTCGAGTTTGCTCTTCTTTCGATCGACAGCTGAGGGAACTACCGTGAGCACCGTATTATTCAAATGTATTTAGACTCGTGTTTTCTTCTCTATCTTCCTCTGCTCGGGGTTTTTTTTCTTTTTGTTTTATATTCAGAGAATAATTTACAATTAGGAGAAAGAAAGTGGACCGATAATAATCCTGAGCATAATTTAGGCACTTATTGAGCTAAGCCAGGCGCTCCCCCAGGTCAGTCACTGCTCCTAGCACTCTAGTGCGACGTGCATGCTGGTGAGAGGCAAAGGGTGACACGAACGGTGTAAGTGCAATGCAGAGCCATCTATTGGGAGAGTTTGGCCAGTTTACGACCTCACCACCGTAACGCCCATTTCCAAGCGAGTTAATCAGTTCACGGCGCAAAGTGAAAGGCGCGAGCACATAAATTCCTGGCTGCTCCCAGCTGTGCGGGGAGGGTTGCCATTTTCATTCATTTGCCCGGTGGAATGCGTGGGGTCGACATCTAAATTTCGCTTCTTTCCTTTTATTTCGCCAGCTCCAGCAAGAAAACGAAATAGTGTTATTCCTCGGTGGGTAAAAAAGATAACGAATGAAGTTTTCTCAACTTTTCACCGCAAACTTTTATTCGGTCGAAAAAGAAGTCGGTCCGTAGCAGACGACGTGTAGTCTCAATGGTGCTCTGCGCCGAAAGCGTGTTGCGTCAAAATGGCGGTCCTTTCCCACCCCCTTTTTGCTCCCTTTCCTCTCTTGCTCCTTCGGTGCTCACCCCCTTTCCTTGAGTTTTCTCCTCTCCAGCGCCTTCTTTGCCACGCCTACTGGCCAGACTCTCCCAATAGACGGCTTTGGTGCCATGGCACTTTGCAGCCACAGAACGAAGGCGTGTGGCAGACGCGATAATGGAAATGACTTCATCGGCAGTACAAGACCCGGGTTCTCTTTTACCTCAGCAGCCGCAATCGGCAATCCTACTATTCTGCAAAGTTTAAGGACATTTAGTACCTGGCATCGACGACATCGTCTGAAAATCGGCCAGAACGGTTCATGCCCAGCATTAACGGCTCTGGCCGGTTGATTCGTAGCATCAAAGCGCGACATTGTGGCATTCGTCATGTATGTGTACATGTTCTTTCATTGACCAATCAAGCGCAAATGTCCCGTGACTTGCACTTTTAGTGCGCGTGTTTGTGGTTGTATCTCTTCCAAGCCTTCGACTGTGCTCTGACTAAGATGAAACAAACTATACGGTAAGTAGAGATGCCGCGAAATTCGTATTTGTACAATTTTTATTTCCTTCTACTTTTTCGAATGTTGGGGTCGACCAATAAATTATTAGATTTTTTGCTTTAAACTCATCTCGGCGCGGGTGTGGTGCAATTCTTAGCAAAAGTAGCATTTTTCCGCAAGATGCAGCGGAGTTTCTTTCATGGTGCGATTTGGCACAAATGGCGCGACGCTTCCATCGCCGAGAATGGGCAGGTGGCATAAAACAAACGTCGCGGTACGTTACCTGGTCCACCGCCCGAGCCGGCGTTGTTTCCGCGTCGCCGCATCATCATCTCGCTTCTGGCACTAGAATGACCCAAAATGGCGTCCTCCAGCTTCGACTTGATGTCGGAGGTCTTCCGCAGCGTCTGCTGGGCAAACCTACGCATCGTCTTCTTTCCCTGCGATGGAAAGACGGCGCAACCTGAGGCACACAGCGGCGAAGGAATGGCCGGAGTGGGATGCACATCGACTCTCGTAGAACGCAAAATGACACCAGCGATTCTTACGTTGGAGGCTCGTACGGTACTGAGGCAATGCAGGAGGGCGTCAGAAATAAAACTCCGGCCCTCGGAGGGATGCACACAGACAACACCGATCCCGAGGATGCCAACAATTGGAACCACGTCACGGCGGGGAGAACCGTGGTTGAGTGCATTAACACCACAGCTTGGAGGACGTGGAGCTCAAATGCTCCCCAGTTCTGGTGCTTCACGCAAATTCTATGACGACCGTTTGCATTTGCCCAGCATCTGTGCACTTGAATAAAGCCAACTACCTTCTCATTTTGCACATATTACATCCTTTTGCTGCAAAACACTTTATTGCCCCCGCCAGACAGCGAGAAATGCCCAAAGCATGGCACTGTCTGGCAGGGGCAATCGAGTGTTTCGCGGCAAAAGGACATAAAACATGCAAAATGAGAAGGCTTCATTCGAGAGTACACATGCTGAGCAAACAAAAGTTTAATGTGCCAGACACTCGTGAACCAAGCTTTGGATCACTAGGCTTAGCCTAGGCCAAGTCACGGAGACACGAACATCAATGGGCAGGCAGATAGATAGGTAGATCTCGACACACTTCTTTCGGTGCCGCTAAAAGATCGGCTAGCCGCAATGCTTCCTTGTACATGTAGCAACACAATTGAAGCATGGGAGGTAAAAACTGCTCATCAAACAAAAACTAAGAGAGACGCGAGAAAAATTTCTGCAATGCATACAAGTCGCATCGTTGTACAAACACACAAAAAAAGATGGCTGAAAAGAACCGCAACCTATACACTGAAAAATACTATACAGTGCAACCGATTTATAACGATAATGAGAAAACCCAAAATTTCAATCGTTATAACCGATTATCATTGTAACTGATCATCTCCAATCTAGAAACTGATCGTTATAAGCGGCACATTGTTATATTGTCACGAATGACGAGGTCGTCGTCACGAATGACGACGAGCCAGCCGCCGCGCACAGCTGGGCACGCGGCGGCTGGGCACAGCTATGCGCCTCTGTTGCGCAGTAGTCAAGTCTGACGCTGCACCGGAGCCGCTCGATAGCGCCTCTCATGTTGTGCGCATCAGCTCACGCTACGTATATCCTGGCATAGCCGAGCTAAGCCACCGCAATTTTTTTATAATTTTTTTATTTTTTATTTTGAAGAAGCCGAGGTTGGAGCTGCTGCTGCGCCCTGTGTTTTCAGTCACACTTGAAAAGGAAACCGAGCTGGTTTTGAAACGTCGGGTTTCCTTTCGAGATTTGGTTGGAGCTATATTTTTCGGGCTTTAATTCTTCTCCAAACAGGAGTTTTCTGCAGAATTTGTTTACTTTCAAGAATGACACGTGTGTTAGTGTGGCATCGATAGTGCTCATGGCAAGAAACTTGCATTCTTAGGTGCTTTTGACAGGATTGCACAGTCAATCACCTTGCAAAAGGGGTATTGTCCTATTTCTTCGCTTCAATGTACGTGATTTCGTAATAAATCAGTTGAAAGTCCCGGTCCTTTGTCTTGCTTGCACTGTTTTTAGTTTCTAAATATGAAGCTTGTCTGGCAAGCCACGGTCAAAGAGAGTTGTTCGGCTGCCAAACATTTGTGCCATAAGCTCTGCTGGCTTCACACACACAAAAAAAAAAAGAGAACAGAAGCGGCAGGAGCGAACACTCCGAGACACTTCAAAATGACTTTGTCAGCTGCAAAAGCTTCAAAAACAAAAACAAGAAGAAGAGGATGGGCAACTCTAGGAACAACGTGTAGTGCCTCGATGGCTAAGACCAGAGTTACCGTGCGCTACATTTCTCATAAAATGCAATTCTGCATATCAACAAATCAAAATACGACAGCCATGTTTTTTACAGCGGAGCTGTTAGGGGCTAGGTTCCCCAGGCTTGTGTCACCAGCAAAACAATTATGACACCGAACTCTGGACAGCTACCGCCATCTATGAGCGACGGTGGCAACGAGACAACTGGTAGTCACTCATACAGTCAAACCCGTTTATAACGAACAGCCGAAAATGCTACGATCAGTTCAATATAGCAAGTAGTTCCATACAGCAAAAAAACATTTACAACAAACTTCCACTATGAGTTTGTTGTAAGGCGAGAGCTTCTGTTTCTTTCTCATCCCTTCACTTTCACCTTGTAACAACACGCCGGAAAGATCTTTTTTTTTTTTTTTTGGCATGCGTGCAGAGTGTTTTTTTAGCTTATCTCCCCTTCTGAATTGCTTCTCTTCGCTCAATTTTGTTTGCAACTTGAGGTTTTGGAATGTCCTTTCTTTCCTACTTCTTTTTTGGGAGAAGGGACAGGCTAGAAGACGATTGTTTGCGTCTTTTTGGAAGCCTCCCCGGTGGGAGAAAGTTCGATATAGTCAATATGTTGTTCGTTATAAAACATACGTTTTACATGCATTTTTATTTAAATTTTCCAGGAGTTTGATGTCGACAGTAATTCACTGTACGTGCGTTCGTTCTAAATAGGTTTCACTGTAGATGGCGGCAGTGGGAGCGGAACAAGCGGTGACGTACACAGCAGCGCGAATGGTTCTGTAAATGCCACGAGTCCGCTATCGCCTAAAGTTCCACTGGCATAAAGTTGACAAGTGCTGATTGTTGGGCAAGTTGGTATGGTATGTTAGAAAACATGATTGCGCTTTGAAGACGGGGACATAGGAAGGACAGACACCACAGAGCGCTCTGTGGTGTCTGTCCTTCCTATGTCCCCGTCTTCAAAGCGCAATCATGCTTTCTAACATAAAGTTCCACTGCGTTTAGCACTTCAGATTCCCTTGTGAAAGAAGAGCACATCGCTCGCCTGGAAAGGCACCATTGAGAACAAAAGCTCTACTGCTCTTCCTTCTTCACCAGAGTGGAAAGGCTGAAAGCTTTTTGTTCTGTTCTTTAACTTTTGTCCGAGGTTGATAAAGAAACAGCCTCGGTACAAGTGACTGACCTTGTACTCGAAGCAGGAGACGCAGATGTAGAGGATGTCGAGGAGCTGGTTGAGCCGCTGGGGGGGCCAGTCAGCCCACCAGTGGCGCAGAGTGCGCTGATCGGCGTTCTTCAGCACCCAGAGGAAGCAGGCAAGCAGGTGCTTGGTGGCCTCCTCCTTCAGCTGGCTCTGGGCACATCCCAAAAACAGAGCCGACCTTAAAATCTATGGCACCAGCTCGTCCAGACATTTGCACTCCAGTGTGAAAGAGAAAAAGGAGGAGAGAGGATTTCCAGACACTTTGAAAACATTGCCAGCAGCAAAAATTTTAAAAGCAAGAACAAGAAAAAAAAAAAAGAAACATTACAAAAGGAGGAAGTAGAAGGCTAAGACTGGAGGTAGTGTCCGCTGCATCCCTTATAAAATGCAATTCTGCACATGATAATTTAATCGATAGATAAAAATAAAATTTAAAATTTTTTATACTTCTACTATTGCAAAGTTTGACGAAGGTTCGACTGAAGCTCAACTGATGGCTGTTTGAAGGAACAGTATACATTAGTTTCTGAATGTATAGAGTCAAGATTTTGCGCAGAAGTGGCCGAAGAACATGCATTGTTCTTTGGCCACTTCTAGCGAGGAAAATGCCTTATCCTTGCTAGCTTTGGACAAGGAAAAAGGGTTCTGTGTTCTTTCAGTAGAACTCTATAAAAGTAAGGCTCTTAAAGCCGCAACATCTCTTTTCCAGACTGTAAGCAATTCCGCCCTATCTAAGAAAATTTTCGAAGCAAAAAAGCTCTGTAGAAAGCAAAACCTTGAACAGCTAGGTAAAAAGATAGAGGCGGGGCGAGAACTTAGCCTAGATCTATTTTTCACGACTAAGACGCTCTGGATAGAATGCCCATTTCGTGTCATTGTCTCGGAGGCTGGCACGTGGCAGAAACCTCTTGCTCTGTTTCTGCAAAAATGTTTGAACCTGTTAGAGTGACAATCTTTTTCTCATGGGGAAGTCGGATAAAGTTAATTCCTTTCTCAAGGACAGCCAACACACGGGGTACATTGCCTGGTCTGTGGACATTAAGGACTTGTACTACTACTCAATACCCCACAAAGAGCTTTTTACCTGCATTAGTGATTGCATTGACAAATTTGGTCCTGTCACATATCAGAATGCTGCAGGAATAACTGTTGAAGGCTTTTTGGAGCTCCTTGACATTTACCTGAGATCAACCTTCGTGATTTGGGAGGGCAATATTTACCTCCAGCGGCAGGGAATCTGCATAGGATCATGCATCGCTCCTGTGCTCAGTGATGTATTTTTAGCAAGCCGAGATCGCATTATCCTCACACACTTGGAAGGAACCGAGGTTGCAAATGCAAAGCTATTTCGTTATGTTGACGACTTTTTGATATTGTTAGAGACCAATGTCACGTCCTTCCAGTCATCTTTGACTGAGGTGTTAGGCATTTTTGGCAACTGCCTCGTGTTGCTCGTTATAACCTACAAAGTGCCTGTTGCGGGATGTATTAGGTTTTTGAATTTGATGCTAACTATGTGTCCAAGTCACGTTTGTTGGGCGTGTGAGCCACGCGCCGGCAAGCCATTACTACCCTTGGACTCGGCTCACTCAAAGATTGTAACAGAGCAATAGCGAAGGCTTGCGAAAGTCCTGCCTTCATCAAATTCGGTCAAGTTTAGAAAAACAAATCAAACGCCTCACGGCAGCTGGGTTCCCTTCCCACTTGTTGGTAGCGGTTGCAGAGACTATCCTCAAAGAAATTAAGAGTGGGGACAATGCCCGCAAAAAAGATGCATGAAAAAAACGAAAGTTTGCCGTTATTCGCTATTTACACGGGTTGTCTCGCCATCTAAAAAGAGATAGCAGGCAAAAGTGAAGTGGATGTGCTCCAGAAAAACTGTAAAGGTTATACAGAGCCATAAACCCTTTCTCTAGAGAGGCCACGGGCTGTGTGACTAAGCATCAAAATTGTTTTGTCACTCGCGCCATAGAGGCTGTGGATTCTATCCCTTTGTCCTGTGGACAGCATTATGTAGGCCAGACTGCCTTAGTGAAAGGGAACCTACCTATAATGTGACCTCTGCAGCATCTGGACATCTTGGCATTCATTTACACAATTCTGGACAACGCCATTACGACCAACAAACCCGTGAAGTAATGGAGGCGTTCGAGATATCTAGATTAGGTGCTGAGTGTTTCAGCTGCCCGCCTATTGCCCTATGTAACAGAGAAATAGATTATCTTACTCGTCACTAGTGTAAAATGCATGCGTGCGATGTGATGGTTTTGTGGTGTTGGTGCATAGCTGTTTTATCTTTCTTTTGGTCTTCACCAAACAAGTATTTATTGTGTGTTCACGACAAATAAAAATTCAGTTGAGAGTCACCGCTGTGTATGCATCCTTCTGCTTCTCGTCCCTCGTCGTTTGTGCTGTTTGAACCTTTTAAAAATGTCACACCAAACTAGCCCAAGCTTCGACCTTAAGCATGCATTAGGCGTAAAAATATTATGAATTGTAAATAGATCAGCTTGAACTTTTGAACTCCTATACTTGAACACGAAGAAAGGACTGGAGAGGACAGACAGCATACTACCAACCACGTTTTAGCACCCAGTCCATCACCGTTCACAAAAAAAAGAAAGACAATATCTACAGAGTGTCAGAACAGCAGCAGCACGAGCTGGTAACATGCCAGTTCAAAAACAAATAGTTTTTAGGTATTTCTGCATATTTTTTCTATACATTTTTCTATAAGTGTAATTATCAGTAGTAATATTTATTAGTGCAATGGGTTTATTTATGTAATAAGTTTCTCGTGCTCTACTTTGCCCTCTGATAGAAAAGAAACCGCGCAAGGAAGAAGTTTACGCTAAAACATTGTTGGTAGCCAGCTGTCTGCCTCCTTCTGTCCTGTCTTTTTTTGTGAAATATTGTTTTGAAGTTCAAGCTGATCTATTTTCAAGTATGTATCAACAAGCTCAACTCTTAACCGTGAAAAATATTTCACTGAACGAACTTACCTAATTAAAAACTCTAAATCTCTACCTACAGTGGCCGTGTGCTAACCAAAGGCATCTGACTGGCGCAAAAGCTGATAGATGTTGACAGTGCTCTCCATATCGACAGGTGGGGGCCATGAGTGAAGGCAACGAGTACCCAATTTTGCAGCATTGGCTTCAATGAGTACACCACTGTTGTTGGTGGCTTGTATGGGAGTTTCCCTCCTCGTTGAACTGCCTCACCCAACGCAGCATGGAAGCCCAGAGGGTACCGCCCAAACGCCACCCGAAAACGTCAATGGACCTCCATTCGGCCTCTGGCTCTCCCCGTAACAAAGTGCAACCCTGACTCGCTCGTTGGGGGCTATGCACACCTGAAGATGACTTGTACCCCCAAAACAGCACTAACTTGCAGACAAAATTAGAGGCGCCGTAACAACCAGAGAGAGCAAAGCGAATGGTAACATGTAGCCAAAAATAAAAGAAAATGAGACAACAGATTTGTTTTGCTCCTCTCGTTTAATCTTCATTTTATATGTTTCATTGGTATAATAAAATAATCATGCACATCTGGCTCAGAAATTCCGTCTGCTATTGCTGAGGTCGAGGAAAGCGTCGCGTTCCCCTGCGACCTTACGTGCCACCATCTGTCAGCCAAACAGACGCCGTAGATTCTCAAGCTCTTGAGTTCTTACTTTTTACTCGGGTAAGGTTGTGAGGATAGCAGCTTGGGCAAGTTGGTAAAGCATCCTAACAACAACAGGCAAGACAACAACGCACACATAGGACACACACTTAAGAGACACACAGCACTGACTTACAACAATTGTATATTTGGGTTCTTCTGCGCGAGAAACAGAAAGGATAGCAAAACTGCTTCATATTCTTTCTCTTCGCAAAAGGGCACAACAATATTTTCCGTATCTCACTTTTACTCTTACCCGGAAAGTGATTATGGACATTTAGGTCTGCACTGTCAAAATTGTGGGAGTGAGGATGTCTTTATGCAGTGTTCTGTTATAGGTAGAAGTAGCCGGAAGCTCACTAGAGAGATCACTGAGGCAGCGAGAATTGTATGGCTTAAAGACACATATGTCAGTGCCCCATCCAAACAAAGAGCTAGAAGTTTTGTCCAATGGAGGGATGAGATGCCTGTGAGATACGAAAAATATTGTCACGCCTATTGCGAATTTGAAGAATACGAAGCGGTCAGGCTATTCTTCTCGTTCCTTGCGCGTAAGAACCCAAAATTACGAGTGAGTTGTAAGTCAGTGCTGTATACCTCTTGAGTGTGTGTCCCATGTGTGTGTGTTGTTGTCTTGCACTGTCATTGTTATGGTTACTCAGGTAAGCTCGTTCAGTAAAATTTTTACACCCTTAATGCACATTCTTCGGCCAACTCCGTACAAAATCTTAGCTCAATACGTTCCCAAACCAATTTATGCGGTCCCTTCAAACAGTCATCGATCCCTCTGCTTTGTGCTGTACCATGTTTAAAATAGTTAAAAAACCACAGAAATTAAAAACAAGCTGATGCCTCCTAGCAGAGAAGTGCAATATCCGTTGAGAAAAGTATATATGTTGTACCGTATTTTGGCGCATATCAGCTACCCACCCCTGCCTATAACCTCCAGCCCCAGCTTACTACCGGCAGGAAAAAACAAAAAATACCTCGCATATACCACGCAAAGCTATGTCTTGAGCTCGCCAGAAACCTTCCTTTGGAATACACTCATCGCTCCATTCGCTGCAAGCTATCATCACAGGCTCCTTCGTTGTCGCAGACAGCGTCATCATCCATGCAGTCAAGGCGATTGCTGATGCAGCACTTTTTGAAATTGTTCCATCTCGTCTAGAGAAGTTGCAGTAACGCCGGATCTCTGTCGACACAGTGCGACCACAACCTCTTCTCAATGAACTTGCGCTTCTCAATGCTTCTCAATGCACTTTCTCGGGCTTTTTTTTAACGATCTTCGGTTGCTGTTTGCAGGTTTTCGTTCTAGTACCTCTACTCTCGCATGAACGACTCATCAAAGTCGTAGCAGTCCTAGTTCCGGCCTGTCGCTTGGTATCTCTACGGCAAGGGACCTGACGACGGCGCGGCGATTGACGTCTTGGAGCCCGCAAAAAGAGAGCAGAGATGGCGAAAAAGGAGAAGAAAAGAGGAACTCGAGGAAATCTGCTCCACGACATGCATTGCAGTCAAGGCGCACTGCCTGCCGAAATTCGCATATAACCCGCACCACTACTTTGCATTTGATTTTCTATCAATTTTGATGCAGGTTACATGCGAGAAAATACAATACGTGGAAATTAGTTCTCCCAAAAACTCAGACTTTTTGTGTAGAAGTCGAACAACACTGTCCATAGGTTAAAATCGGTCGAATTTGAATAAAAGTGCTAAGTTTCCATATCAAACGTCCTGTTGGACAAAAGTTTGCGACATGCTTAGTTACGACCGCTTATGACTGCTGCAGTGGAACGCAGGTGGTTGTAACGCAGTTTGCCACAGTCAAACATACATGTCTGAGTCACCCTTCATTGAATGAAATGCAGTCTAGAAATCCAGCTTCCTTTTAAGCAGGGTTCCCTGTTCTCAGTACATGCCGATAAACCATGAAAAGTACCCTCCGAGACAGTTTTATCACAACTGGAAAAAACCGGAAAAAACCCAATTGGAACTGTCCTTCAAAGAAAAATATGTAAGCTTCACAAGAAGCAATCTTCACCAACAGCTTCATTTTGTGTCGATTCTGAGCAAAGCTCACACTGCCCAAGGCTGCTTCTCTAATTGCTAGCAGGATGTTCTTCATGTATTAAGGACGTGTCCTGTTTGATTCAACAGAATTAAACCCCGATAAACGCCCCGTTTTTTGTCCAATACTGAAAGTTGAGACCGAACCTGTAAATCAAATTAGACCCGAAAAAATACTTAAAGGATAACAAACTCCGAAAACATTGAGCCCGACTTATGAGCAGGGTTTTCAAGTTTCTCTATTTTATCCAGGAACTTTGTATTTGTCTCTGTTATTGGGCGCGTTAAGTTGGCGCTCCTTTACTCCTACTCCGACGCTCCGAGTTTCATACTCCGAGCGCAGCAACTAAACGGCGCATATCGTAGAGGAGCGCGACACACCGAGGCTGTGTTCCAAACCTACCTGAATGGATCCGAGTTACCCTGGCGTTTTATGTCACGTGACAACAAAATTAGAGAAATGCTGGACGCAGGTGGGTCTTCGATAACCACTTTTACCCTAGAGTTAGACCGAGTAAGTTTAAAACACGGCCAGAAACTATCGACGGGCCACGGCCCACACGAGCTCCTTCCAACCGTGGATATGGGTGGCAGAAGCCGAAAATATTTCGAAGAAAAATAATTAGGCCCAGGTGGAGTGGCAGAGTCTAAAGCAACAGAAACGGTGACGTTGTGAAGTTTCTACAAACGTTTTAATATTCCTGAAAGGTTTGAAGACTCGCTTCGTGCATGTATGTGAAAGGTTACCTTGCTTGATCTATTTATTGACCATGCATGCTGTTCCGATTTAAATTAAAGGCAATATTCTTGAACCCGCTCGTCGACGCAGGAGAACCCTCAAATTTGTCAGATTTTCTGGTTCCGTCGGTTCCGTCTCGCAGCGAGACGGAAGCTACGGCGATACCGGCACACCGTCGTTCCTTAGCACATCGTTTTTAGGCGGTATGCATGAACAAGCCTTTCCTGCAACGCTGACTGGTGTTTCGGCTTTCCAATCTAAGTATCTTTATTCGCTGCGGCTGGGCTAAGCATTCTAAGCAGGGCAGCCGTCTGTCTTTTCATCACTTTTCTGTCGCCGAGCTATCGGCACGCTCGTTCGATAGATCAATTCATTTTCAGGCAAGACGCACGAACAAACCTTTTCATCGACGCTCGCTGATGTTTCGGCTTTCAAATCGAAGTATCTTTATTCGCTGCGCTAAGTATTATAAAAGGGACAGAGCGGTCCGAATATTTCCTCATCTCGACAACGTTTCTGTCGCAGTGCTATCGGCACGGTACCGTTTGATAGATGAATTTCTTTTTCAGGCGAGATAAACGAACAAACCTTTCTCGGGACGCTAACTGCTGTCTTGGCTTTCAAATCAAATCGTTTTGGCCTGCTGGATTAAGCACTAATCAACTGAAAAGGGGCAGCGGTCCGCCTACGCCTTTTCGTCTCGGCGGTCGCAAGAGCAGCGCAGCCATCTTGTTTGTTTACGTGACGTCACGGAGCACGAAGAAGTCACTCGCGCTCCGAAGAATTCTCGGTGCACGAAGAGCGCGCTCGAGTGCACCGTCTCCGGTGGTACTCCTGTCCGTTTAGTGGAAGGAGCGCCTAACTCTCGAGCTCCGGAGCACGGACTTAACGCGCCCATTGTTAACCCGGAAAATGAAATTTTTTTGCACTGCTTCTTTTAGTTTTAAGCGTAACTTTGAATATTTGTTACAGAGACAATAGTTTGTAAGTGATCGGAGAGGCTTACATGGGGAGGAGCATCGTAGGGCTCAGGTTCCGAGCGGTACAGAACGCTGGACCCAGCTATCGCCATGGCAACAGACTGGTGAATGGACGCAGGTCTCCGTCGAGAGTTGGTCTCCGAGTTGTCTGCAAAGCGCACTGGGAAAGGACATGCAAGGTGGTCATATGGGATGGCATAGCTGAGAAGGAGACTGTCTCACCACATTATTAATTTTTTGTCCGTCATTTTGTCAGAGAAATTCGAGGAAGCTTGCACTATGGTGAAATATTTGCAACACTGCAGTATTGCACTAATGTGTAACATTGTGGGATATTGCTATTGAGCAATTATTCTTCACCAGTACAAAAGCAAAATATCTTTATGTGGTGCAATAAAAATATTTTTGGCAAAATATTACGCAGCATGCCCTGTTTCCTGAGTGAACAAAAAAACATAATTTTTGGAAAAAGAAAAGTAACTGTACAGCTATGAAATGAGTACATCAACCAAGCATTCTTTTTTTCGATCTTCTGAATTCCACCATTCTCGGAAAAGCACACTACTGTAATATCCCGAGAGATGCGCTGCCCCCGAAAAATAACCATACAATCACAGAATCCCTACAATCACAAGTTTTGTAGGTCACAAAGTCTAAAACTACAATTGTAATGCGAAACCATTATCTGTCCCAAGGAGCGAAGCCGGTGTTGTCTGTAGCAGCGAAGAATGGCACCTAAATTCCCATTGGCTGCGACGTGTCATTGTGGCTCCGTAGCAACGGTGTCATCATTGCCAAGGAGCCAGCCGAACTGCTGGTGGTGCAGCGGGAGGGGGGGACGTGGGAATGCGCTGGCCTGGCGTTAGGCCTAATGTTACGCTTTGAGGTTTAACGTCGTCAACCGGTACCCGGAGCTAGGGCAATGATGATGAGGAGAGGACACGTGATCAGCACAAGCCGCGCCAAGCTTCGCACTCCCACCGCTGCCTCACCCAGCGGCGCAGCAGTCACCAGCGAGCCAGGGCAGTCTGCGCGGCGCACCGCCGCACTCCCTGCCGACGTTGCGGCAGCTGCTGCTCCTCTCGGCGCCAAGAATGCTTTCGCATTCACAACTCTTAAAAAATGCTTAGGCAAACTCTGAATTTTTTTCAACTTCTTTTTATCGCACACCGAAAGTTAGCCTGCTCCTTATTTTAACCTGATCTGCTTTCGATTTTAGGTGGGCTATCTCTCGGGATATTGCCACAAATGACTACAAAACAAAGAATAACTGAGGGAACTGAAACGTGTGGCAAACATGTGCCAAATTAAAAAAAGGAAACAGAGGATAACAACAGAGCATCGTGCGTGTCGAAGTTGGCGTAGCAGCAGGAACGAGACTGATTCCGACTCGCAACGCGGAGCCCCTGTGTACATGCATGAGTTTCTGGAACAATCGGCGTAGAAGGTTCGGCGCGTAGAACATTTGGATCTCGAATAAGCAACAGAATTCTCGAATACACCAGAACGCGACAATTGCAGAAATAACAAAAAGGTGCAACTGCTCCCAGGCATCGAACGTTGGCCCTCTGCGTGGGAGCCAAGCACAATAACCATTGGACCACGGGCATGCTGCATACTTGGCTAGCTGCGCGCGCGGCATTACTTTCCCCTTTAAAAAGTATCACTCGATGCAACCGAAAACAAAAGAAAGCAAAACAAAAGTAATGGTGCATTGAAGAGAAACCTGGAGCACAAAACGTCAACAGTTTTATCACGTAGAACGGCTTGAGACGAATAATATGAACCATCTCGGGTCGCAAACGGCAGCGTGAAGAAAGCTGGGTTCCGTCAAGATTCCGTCAGGTGTGTAGTTCAAGTCCCCTGGGTGACAAAGAACCTTGTAGGGTCCAATATTTCGCTTTAACAGCTTCTCGCTCGGGCCGCAACGACGGATCGGTGTCCACACCCACATCCTGTCTCTGGGCTGGAAGTGGATGTCCCGACGACGGGTTGTAGTGGTTGCTTTTCTTGAATCCTGAGCCGGGCGAGCTGTTGTACCTCTTCTGCCCGTTGAGCAACCATCTGGGCATCGTCTCTCCTGTCGGGTCATGGGGTAGCATGGCATCGAGCATTGTCGTTACTTTCCAACCGTGAACTAGCTGAAATGGTGTAACTCAAGTGGTCTCTTGAACAGCTGTGTTGTAGGCGAACGTAACACACGGCAAAACTTCGTCCCACGTCTTGTGTTCCACGTCAGCGTATGTTGACACCATGTCGGCGATGGTCTAGTTTAGCCGTTCCGTCAGCCCGTTTGTCTGTGGGTGGTATGCTGCGTTTCGACGATGAATGGCGTGGCTGAAACAAAGGATCTCTTGCGTCAGCTGTGCCATGAACGATGATCCTCGGTCTGTATTCAGGACCTCGGGGGTGCCGTGCCAGAAGACAATGCATCCAACGAAAAAATTTCAGCCTTTCCACTCTGGCGAAGAAGGAAGAGCAGCGAAGCTGTAGCTTCTGTTCTCGACGGTGGTTTTCCAGGCGAGCGATCTGCTCTTCTTTCACAAGGGAATCGGAAGCGCTCAACACAGTGGAATTTCAGGCGATAGCGGCTTCGTGGCAGTTGCGCAACCATTTGCGCTGCTGTGCATGTCACCGCTCCTTCTGCTCCCGCTCTTATTCCTCCGAAGAAAGGGCATGCAGCCGACCCATCATGAGTCTAAACGGCAACTGATAACCACGTGGGAGACAAAAAAGACGAGGACGAAGAAGAATATAATGGCTGGCCGAAAGCCGGCAAGTTAGAGTGGAAAGGCCTGGAAAGGTTGCCGCCATCTATGAGAGACGGCGGCTTGCCTGCCGGTTGTCTGGTTGCTACTGTCGCTCATAGATGGCGGTAGCTGTCCAGAATTTTGTGTTGAGATTTATTCGTCAACGGACACGAAACTGGGGAAACTAGCCCTTAACAGCGCCACTGTAAAAACTTGAGTTACTTTCACGGCAGTTCCCGATGGAAAGGCTTTCGTTTCGGCGTATCGTGTTAGGTGATCAGTTGCAACAATTATCCACCGGTTGTCTCGCGTTGATTGCAGGAATGGGCCGAGCAAATCTATTATGATCTGCTGGAATGGGGTGATCGGCGACGCAATTAAGTGCAAGAGTCCTGCCAGTTTCGTCGGCGGTTTTTTCCATCGTTGGTGACAGGACCTCGTGTAGTTATGTAGTCTTTGGAAGGTCAGTAATACTTCTCACGAATCCTGACTAGAGTCCCGAGCCAAGGTGCACAGCCGTCGGGTCGCCATGGCATCCTTGGAAGACTTCTTTGCGAAGGCTGGTAGGAACCACCAACAGCCACGCCGTGTTGCTGTCACCCAAGTTCCCTTTGAACAGCACACATTGTCGAATGGCAAAGGTTGGCAGGGCTCGTAAGGAAGACCCGAGGAACTGTAGTCCCCTCTAGGTGTTCGATGAGTACTCGCAGTTCAGGATCAGCTCGCTCAAGTGCTGCCAGGTCGCTGACATTTACCGCGCCAAAAAAACACTCGTCGTAATCGTCGGTGCTGGCGGGTTCAGCTTTGACGGGGGCCCTCGACAGACAGTCGGCGTGCCTCCAGTCAGACTTGTACACCCCAGTCATGTCAAATTCCTGCAGGCGTAAACACCACCAAGTAGGGCGTCCCGATGGGTCTTTCAGATTGGCGAGCCAGCACAGCAAGTGGTGACATCTGATCACGCGGAATGAACTTCTGTTGAAGCATGAATGCAACTTCGTTATAACCTAGACGACAGCAAGGCACTCTTTTTCTGTCGTTGAGTAGTTGCCCTCTGCCTTAGACAAAGTCAGGCTTCGTTCTCGAAGGATCGTGACAGTGCCCTCCTGCCTTTGGACCAGTACCGTGCCAAGTCCAATATCACTTCTGTCGGTGTGGATTTCCATTTCTGCAAACTGGTCAAAATGGCCGGGGATTGGTGGTGCCTGGAGTCTCCGCTTGAGCTCGTCGAATGCCCGCTGTTGTTCTTCCCACTGAAACTTCACAGCATCCTTTGTGAGATCCGTGAGCGACGCAAAGCTTGGCGAAGTATTGAACGAAGCGGCTATAGTAGGCGCAGAGACCCAATAGCCTTCGTACTTCCTTCTTGTCTGACGGTGGAGGAAAGGCAGCTACGGTGCGCGTCTTCTCGGGGTCAGAACACTCTCCTTGTTCACAAAGTGGCATAAGAGCTTGAGTTCGTCATAAGCAAAACGGCATTTCACCGGCTTGAGGGTGAGTCCGGCTGTTTCGATTGCCTGGAACATGGCTAAGAGGCGTCTCAAGTGTTCGTCCAAATCATGTGAAAATACAAGGGGTGTGCCAATACCGAATAGTACTTATCAAATCGAATACCGAATCGAATTAAGAAAAAAAAAGCCGAATATCAAGTATCCAATAGTGATTTTATTTGTATGAATTTTTCAAAGTGTGCTGTGAATGAGAATATTATATGTGCAGAGTATGCACCTTGTGCAGAATATGCATCTCGTTGGGAACAAAAGCTCAAATGTATAAAAATTCTGGCGAAGAAAAAAAAGAAGCAGTTGCTGATGGACGTCGGGCACTAAAGATCCAATTTTATGGCACAAACATAATCTATCTACCCTAAGCGTCACAAAAAACCCAAAGTTACAGCCACGCGTGCCTTTTTTTCTCGTTAAAGGCACGACCTAACACCGCAACTTTTTTAAATATTTGTATATCTCAGAAAAGGGGCATTTTGCGATATTTGGTCTCCATTTTAAAGGGGCCCTGCAATGACCTTTTTACTAATTTTTAATTTGCACCGAACCTGAGCGCACCGAACGTAGTAACTTAGTGAAACTTTTCTTTTTTCAAAATTCCCTTTATTTTAAAAGTTATAGGCAAATTAAAATTGCAAAAACAAGCAAAAAATAACCTCCCTCATGACGTCCTTGGTTGCTTGAGAGAGGCCGTGAGCTAGAGGAGAAGTAGTGGGCTCATCGAGCGCTCACGGCTGCCGCACTCCGAGTCGACGGCGCGAGAGGGCGCCATTGAAGCGTGTTCTGGATAGGATGTATGCAGCGGGTAGCCAGAACGGCTTTCATTGCATTTGCTGCGCGATTAAACACTAATTCGGCATGACACTTCATTGGCCACAAACGACAGCAAACACGGGGTAAAGATC